CAGTCCTCTATCTGTGAGCCGAACACTGCAAAACAACGTAAACAAGTCCTGTAGGATCAGCTGTGCCTCTGTCATTAGGCTTGTGCAACATCTCCCCACTATTATCCTAATAAACACTTTATTTCTTCTTCAGCTGCGAGTCATCGTAAACGCCAGGCTGGCGACCTGAGTTAAGAAAACTACAACACAGTGAATAACAGCGAGGGCTGTGAACAAATGTGTGTGATGCTGAGGATTCACAGCCTCACCAAGCAGTGTGAGTGTGCGCTCTGCAGGGACCGCTCTAAAGTCCGTATATTAGTTATTATTTCCATGTCCTTCATTCACTTTTTCTATGAAAATCAAAAGATTTAACCGGATACATTTTCTCTAACGAGAGGAACGTTTCTGCAGACGAGCAACAAAACAACACAAACCAAGCAAACCGAAGCCCTGGTTTCAGTTTGCATCACACAGGAGCGCCGATCCTCCTCTGACGTTCTTCAAATAACACGCCGCGCATATTTCTCACAGTCTCTCAAGCGAGGAAGTTACCATCGTCTTCCACTTTGGAGCGAGAAGACGACGGCTGAGTGAGAAGTCTATAAGCAGACACACTCGAGTCTGGATTTCAGTCTAACGTTGTCACACTCATTCATGTCATCATATCTAAAACGGTTTCACTGTAAACTGGAAAAACTCTGCTTACATCATCAGGATATTATAGAGTTTCCTGGTGATTTGGACCCAGTCTTGGTGGAAACGTACTCGTGTGAAGCGTCTTGTGTTTTCTGGGTTTCAGAGGACATGAATGGAAATTTACTGTCGAGCTGAAAGTAACAGAAACTGAAAACAATTGCGCGAGCTGCACCGCGACCTCCTGCATGCCGCACAGAGGGAGCCTCTAAACACCGGACATCCATCCATCGCTTTGATTGGCCAGCAGAACAATACCTCCAGGGATGACTCACTCCCTACGATTCACTGTGAATACTGCACAGATGCAGACACACATATGTGGAGTGTGTCTGCGATTGATATTCACTGAGCTGAAACGCTGCTCTGTGAAACACTGGATTCCCCTGATGAGACACCTGTGAGGCTGCGCATCCGGCTGTGCGACACAAAACGCTCAGCAGCCTGTTTCCACAAAAACCCACTGAAGGTGCGTCTCCCACTGCACAAGACATGATTCGCTTTTTAATTCTGAGGGTGACTGACAGCAGCTTT